GGTTTTTGTGATAGCAATACCTGTGCACCTGCCTACCAATTTCTGAGTCATTTATTGCTACAGTAATAGGACATGACCACTGACTCCAAACTCCATGGCTTAACGGGGTAGCCTGGTGATGTTCTTATGATGGTGGCGGTGCTGGAGAGCACACAAGTACCTACATGCAAGCACTTTTCAAGACTCTGTGCGACACTGGCTGACATCCCATTAGCCAAAATGAGTCCCATACCAAGTCCAGGGTTGGGGAATTCTACCCTGCCCACTAAAAGGTAAGGATATAGGGACGGGCAAAGATTTAAGACCATTATTGTAACTGACAGAGATAGAAAGTGAGAAAGGATGTTACCTCTAATGGTGGCCCATGAGGGACATTTGGGGTCCAGGATCTGGTGTTCAACTGGGAATCAAGTACAACTTTGTAAATCAGCAGAGATAATCAACTTTTTGTATCAGAAGAGAAAATGAGGGTCTAATTCAGCAGCAGGGCACCATAACTGTGAGGGAGACAGGCCGGACAGCAAAATGAAAGTAAGGGAGTGTTTGATATTACAACTCTGGGTAATTTGTATTTTCACAGAAAAGATCTAATCCAGTAGGTAAGGGATGTTCAGAGCAGAATCTGGTGTTCTGGTTAAAGGACTAACAAGGACTAGTCGGGTCTGAAGGCTCTGGTGATGCTAGTTAAGATTCAAGGTTATGTTCTGTCTAGAGTGGGGGGAGGGCCGGGGAGACTAGAAGACTTGGCAGGGAAATAGTGGACTCTCGAAAACGGAGTCTCCTTATCAAAAAGGGGTTAAGGATGTCGAACTTATGGGAATCTGTGTAGAAAGCGTTAAGTTTGAAACTGAGCGGAGTGTGAGATTTCACCCTTCTTTACAAGTTCACAGGTCAGCCTGCCACAATTATATATATACTGATGGGAAGCAAGCATGAGGTCCCTGGATCAGAGACCGTTTATTACTCACAGAGCCTTGAGCATGGATTTCTAAGCCCCAAACCCCACAGAGCTGAACCGTAAGCCACCTAGAATGTTGTAGTTAAACCACTATAGGCCAAGAAAATTGCTCTTCTTTCCCAGTGTGGTCACAGTAGCCCCACTGATGGAGGAGTGTGTGTGGGATGAGGGGCTAGGAGGGAGGGTGGATGTGAAGTGGGGAAAGCAAGGATAAACTGGGAGCCACAGGGACCAGCTGGGATCCAGGAGGATGGACTAGAATCTGTGTTGGTCTCTCACAGCCTTCTAACCTCCAACTTTGGTGATGGGCATGTGGATCAGGAGCAGCCAGCACTCATTGTCAGCAAGCTAGACACTCTCCTGGCCACGGAGTCACAGAAGTTGAAGGAAAGGATTCAGCAGGAGCTAGAGCTGCTGTAGGCCGGCAAGGTAAGCAGGCAGATCAACAAGACCTCCGGCCCTGGTCTGACCTTCAAAGCCTTGAAAGCAATGTGGCTGCTACTTCACTCCCATCTTCCAAATTGCCTGCAAAATGTCTCTTTCTCTCCCCACAGAATTACACAGATGCACACACACACACACACACACCCCTGCCCCACACACCCCACAGGCATACACACATAGGAATTCTGGGAAATGTAGTTTGAGCTTAGCTAAATTGATAGTCCTCATTCCCATGCCCCGACCTGTGTCAATTAGACTCAGGAGACATGTCTGATTACTCCCATCAACCTAGTCTTTCATATGGGCTTTCAGACTGTTTATAAATCTTTTAGGCTTCTCTTCTCTGCACTATGCTATCCTAAGCCTCCACTTTTCCTTAAATTTTTGCTACTCTTGAGTCAGCCTCTTTCTCTTATTTGTATTCTCTGAGACTCCCTGTCACTCTGTAGATGATGTGGCTGAGTGCCAGGCAGTGCCCTGGCAAAGGCCCAGTGAGTCTCGGCTTATAGGAATGAGAACCTCATGGTCCCCATGCTTTGTTCTCTTTCCTTATGATTTTTAAGCTGTGTTTATGCTGAGCTAGGTGTGCATTGTATTTCTGCAGTCAAGTGTGCGTCCTTAGGAAGCCTGTCTTCCATACAGATTTACTGAACCCGCTGCCGACCGCATCCCTGATTGCGAGTGGGTCCGAGTGTTTTCCTAACAAAGAAGAGCAGTATGCTTTGGCACAGCTGCTTGGTATTTTTCCTAGAATGTTAGAAGGAAGCAGACATTCATTGGGTTTTGCCAGGCTCTCTTTGTCTAAATTGTCCCATTTGGCGTAGCCTGTTGGCTTCAGTCTATTAGAATAGCGATGTAGGAAACCATTCCTCTTGGTTTATGAGCTTGAACCCAAGTGCATCAACATGTGCCTTAGCAGGACAGAGATTGACATAAATACTTCTGGGCTATCAGATCTCTGTGAGGACCATTTCCACGTTCCACATGTAGGGTATGAATGTGCAAATCCCACGTGGAGATCACAGTTCACTAACTTGTGGGATGGCCCCGCAGAGTAAAGAAGTGATTCAGTGTAATGACTCTGCAACGCTGTAGACGAGAGACCCAGAAACCACCATTCTTTTGGCGCTGTTTTAAAATTTGGGCAAGGAGCCACATTTCTGAGGGAAGGAAAACTGCATTTTCCTCTTAGTAGTCCTGAAAAAAATCTTGAGCATTTCGGGATAAGCAATATTCATCTCTCAATTAGTATTAACAGCTAATCAGGGTGCAGCAGGGTAGTAGAGCTCTCGTCAAACAGCAGGCAGCTTGTTTTATTTTTTCAATGCCACTTAAAGATTATTTGAAAAATCTCCTTCAGAGACCAGTGTGTGGGGAGCCACGTATCCTCAGTCAGAATTTAAAGCGATCCAAAATACAATATTAATGATTGATGGCCAAGCTCACAGTTTGGCGCTGGGGTTTAATTAGATAAGCATTGCAGCTGTTTTCGGGTACAGGCAACTTGATGGGGAGCAAAGCTGTTATGTGACTTCCCATCTATTGAAGCGGAAACAGAAGCAAGCTACTAGGAATTATGATGATGACATTCTTTTGCAGAGCTGAAATGAGCAGAAATCTGATTGTGGGGGAAGGAGAAGCATTTTGCAATTAGAAAGGTGGTCTTGGATCTTCTATTCCGTTTGTCGATGAACTGAGCACTCATAAAAAGCAGCTCGTGCAGCCAAGCCATGATCTGGTGAGGCACGTGCGAAGCGCTTGCGCGTGTGGCCCCCTCGGTCCATATGCCGCTTTGCATCGTACAAAACCCTCTTGTCTCAAATCCACCCTTCACCTTGTAGGCATCCCAGTTGCTGCCAGGCCATCTAGTGTCTTATTCATGCAGACGTCACTCAATCTCCCTGAAAACTTGAGAAGAATTTAAACTGGATTCGATGGTGTTTCATTTCACTGAGTCAAAGAGATTGTCAACATCTAATTACTGTAAGTTTGGAGTCATCTGTGTCTCAAGCTGGAAATGACTAGAATGTGCTGGATAGTGTCTGTCTACAGCTAAGCGTCAGCAGGGGTGTGTGACCTCTATCACGAGAGACGGCTAAAGAGTACAATTTGTTGAAGCTCATTGTAAATTAAATGTGCAAGACTTCAAGAACGTGTCCCACTGGACTGAGGCTCGGAACTCTCACACTGAAAGTGATATTGTTAAATTGATCTTTAAAACCTCTCTTTCCAATAAAAAAGGAGCCTGTCTAGGTGTTTTGTGTTGTGAAATAATTATAATAGCCATCTATGAAATAAATTCTTGATGGCTCATTGTCAATATCTACAAAATGCAAGGTTATACGTGACCTCTAAGTATTTTATTTTTGTTGTGTAGTGAATTTTAATGAGCCTTCTCCTGACTGTTTTAAGTCAATTTTTTTTAATTTAATTTTATTTTTTTAAATTTTTTTTTAATGTTTTATTTATTTCCAGGAGAGAGAGAGAGAGAGAGACAGCGTGAGCAGGGGAGGGTCAGAGAGAGAGGGAGTCACAGGCTGAAACAGGGTCCAGGCTCTGAGCTGGCAGTCAGCACAGAGCCCGACGCGGGGCTCGAACCCACGAACCGCGAGATCATGACCTAAGCGAAAGTCGGACGCTTAACCGACTAAGCCACCCAGACGCCCCTGTTTTAAGTCAATTTAAGAGAATGTAGAATAAACCTGACTCTTACAATGTAAGTAGGAGAGGAATGAGTCTTTTTGGAGGTACGTCAACTCTCTTGGGTCATTAATTGTCATTCCTTGAACTGAGAAGAGGTATGTGCACTGCTTTGTTCCTTTTTGTTAAAGGTGTCCCAAGGGGAACAACTAGGAATTAGAAAAGTTGAAAGATTAAGCCCTAGTTTGGCCCTTTTCTAGCTGAGTGATCTTCGTCAGTTTGCTAAGCCTTGAGCTTCCCTTTTTCCTCATTTGCAAATTGGGAAGAATGACTCCTTCCCTCCTTGTCTTCTGGGGCAATATTGAGGATCCAACTGGATGGAACGTGTCTTTAGGTTTAGACCTGAAGCGGAGTGTTTCTAATATTCAGTTAATAGTGGCTTCCATGAGGCAGGTCCCCACACTCCACACCATAACGCTACTGAGAACAGATGACTGTGTCTTAAACTTTCCAGTGAAAAAGGACAAAGGCTGTTCTTGGGGTTCCAAAGCCTTTCCTAATGCTAATACTTTTACCACCTGTTGTTGGAGGGTGGTGAGGAAGGAGTGTGAGACTATTCACACAGACACAAAGGTGAGGAAAATCACATTTTGTGCACAGCTGAGTAAAGTATAAGTTGAAACCTGGACCCAAGCCTTCTGGTTCCAAGGTGAGTGTTGTCCTCTTCCTGGTGGATTGTCTCTGCAGACAGTCTGCAGATAAATGGAAATGGAGAGGTGGACTCTAGAGGAAATGTGTGGTTGGCTTTGGAATTGAAGAGTGCCGATGTCAACAAAAGAGTAATTCATTAGAGACCAATAAGCTTGGCAGCAGGACTGTCTGAGCACACTGAGCATCACTGCCTTGGGGGTACATGACGGTTGGCTGTACGGTGGGTTTTTAGAAAGTAGAATGTACTCTGTGAATATTCTTGTTCTGATTTTGTAATAACTCAGGGGGAGGGGATAAATATTCACTATATTAAGGCTATGCATGTGTCCTGAGATCTAGTTCTTTCCCTAGCTCTGGTTTTATCAATGCTCATAATAGACCAAGTCTGATTTTTATGATGCATCTTATATGAGAAATGTCTAGGACTCTAGGTATCTGGTCATCCTTGAGAAATGACAGCACAGCTGGCGAAATAACTTTTGAAGACAAACATCGCTAATTTGATGATTACCAGTTACTATTAAATGAATTGTAAAACTATTGTGTTTTATTTTTCAGGAAAAAAAAGTAGAACATACCCCTTTTAGTGCACGCAGTAATGATTGTTGAACACTTGCAAGTGATGCTTCTATGCTTGTTCCTTTGATAAAATAATTGATAAAGCTATGCTTCCTTTGTGTCTTTTCTTTTAAAAAAAATTTGTTTTGAGAGATAGAGCAACAGGGGCAGAGGGAGAAAGAGAGAGAGAAAGAGTGGGGGGAGTATCTTAAGCAGGCTCCATGCTCAGTGTAGAGCCTGATGCAGGGCTCGATTCCACAGCCCTGGGATCATGGCCTGAGCCAAAATCAAGAGTTGGACGCTCAACTGGCTGAGCCACCCAAACGCCCCCCCCTTTGTGTCTTTTCTAATTGATGCTGATGGAAAAACTGACAATAGTAGTAGAAATATTGCAATACTCCATTATAGAGATGGATTATAGTGCTTTAAAAATTACCATACATCCTAAAGGCAATCAATAAAAATTACTAATGCTGGATTGAATTGATGTACCAAACAAAGCCTGGTGGTCTACTGAGTGAAAGGTAGGCATGAATATTCTGGGTGGAATGTAGGAAATGCTATTAAAAAGTTAATGCATAGGGGCACCTGGGTGGCTCAGTCAGTTCAGCATCCAACTTCAGCTTAGGTCATAATCTCACGGTTCGTGGGTTCGGGCCCTGCGTCCGGCTCTGTGCTGAGGAATAGCTCAGAGCCTGGAGCCTGTTTCAGATTCTGTGTCTCCCTCTCTCTCTGACCCTCCCCTGCTTATGCTGTCTCTATCTCTATCTCAAAAATTAGTTAAACATTAAAAAAAAGTTAATGCATAGATAGTAAACACAGTCTTGAAATATACAAACAAGTACTTACTTGTAGAATAATTGTAATCACAATGAATGATAATAGCAATTACTTTTACTTGGTGCTTGTTCATCTTCCAATCCTGTGAATATTTTTTCCCAGAGTTCTAGTTTGGATTCTCTTTTCTCTCTATAGAAATACTCTCCTTGGGCTTCATTATTTGCCCTAAGGCTGAATTTGCCATCTGGGTAGCAATGACCCAATGCAAGCAACCTCTTATGTACCTCAGGCATGCACACCTCTGAACACTCCGATAGCATTTTTCACATGTCTTCTATATCAGGCAATTGCAACCTGGATCTGAACAAGATGGCCTAAAGGCACAAGATAAAGTAAGAAGGGTAGAAGGGCTGCAATCAAGGATTAAGGAAGCCCAACATTTTAAAGGCTAAGTAAATGAGAATTTTAGAGACAGAACAAATGAGTGGCTAGAGGAGTGTAGGAGCACAATCAAGAGAGGGTGGTGTCATTGTGGAATCCAAAGGAAGAAATTGTTTCACAAAGAAGATTGGTCAGTAGGTCTGAAATGTCAAATAATATAAGGGCTGAAAATGCCAATAGGATCCAGCAACACGGAAATCGCTAGTGTACTGGGCCAGACCGATTTGAGTGAAATGCAGGGGGTGGATGTCAGTTGAGAAGTGAGTGGGAGTTGAATAAAGGGAAACAAAGTACAGGCAACTAGCTCACCTAGAGTTATTTTAAAATCAATGATGCCATTTTCCATTTATTCCCTCGGAGTCACGGCTAAGACAGGCTGTAAAGGATTCCGTCCAGAAAGGCCTCCCATCAATCTGGAGCTAATGCTATTTCCAGCACACAGTGAGGCTCCTGGGAACCAAACAGTCTTGTCGCCAGCCCACCTGGTCTAGGATTTCCAGGAGCAGCTGGCTTGTTGCAGAGAGGTCCAAGTCCTTCAATCCATTGAAGACCTCAATCCATCAGAGACTTACTTCCAGGCTCCGGTCTGTGGAAATTTCTAGGCCAGTTATTTTCCCCATGACTCATCCGTGTTTTTCACCCAAACTGAAAAGTGCTCCTCCATTCATCATCCTCTCCGAAGTCCCAGCTTTGTGGCTCTGTTCCCTTCTCCCTGAGCCAGATGCAATTGCTCCCCTCCTAACCTTTCCCACTATACTCTTCACAACCTTTACTTAATTGCAAGTAACTTCACATACACTCTTAATCGAGTCACAGATGCTTCATCTGTTTCCTCCTGGCTCTCACTGAAAACTTCCCTCTCAAGTGACACTCTCTTTTGGGTTGAAGTCTTCCTTTGCTTCCTGAGTAACTAAGTAATACCTGGTTTAGACTGGAGGGGAGTGTATGGTCTTTTCCTTATGTCTTCTCTCCCCTTCACTGGGCAGGAGCAAGCGGAGCTTTTGTGTGAGGGTGAAAAGGAGGCAAATCTATGTGACTGCCAGCTGGCGTCAAGGTTGTTGATCTCTGTCTACTTTGCTGGTCTTCTGTCTGTGAGGATGCCTCCCAGGAAGCCCGAAGGAGAGGTGATTGCTCGATAACTGGAAGTTTTTCTGAACTTGAAACTTGGGGCTTTTAGTACTTTTGTACTTAGCTTTGGACTTAATTTGCAATTCTGAGAAGGAGCTTCCAGAACCCCAGTGTCATTCTTTTAATATGTCATTCTTTCAATTCATTTCAATATGGAATGGACTTCCCTTCCCTTCTCCTACATAAGCACATGCCCTTTCCACTGGTCTTTTTCCCTCCTCGGGGACCTCCCTCCATCATCTAGCTTTGTTTCTATAGCTTCAGCATCTTCTTTCTTGTTGCCTCTTTAGCATTGATATTTAAACATCATCGTATCCCTCTAATATTGAAAATCTACCCCCCCAACTTGCCATTTCCCTCATGTTCCTTTTAGATTCTGCTTTATCTCATTTCTTTCAATTTTCTCTATATATTTCCTCTAATTCCATCTGTCCTATTCAGACCATAACCCTCTACAATATTATTACACCCCCACCATGCCAACGAACCCCTTTTTACTACGTCACTGTCATATTATGCTGACCATGGTAATTTAGGCTACCATAACCATGGACCATTGCCCCAGCTCCATTTTTCAGGAGGTGGGAGATACTAATGGTCTTACATGTATTTGCACCACTAACTTTCCTCTAAGGACCTGGTGGTACCAGTAATGACGAAGAATTCTCCCAGAAACCAGCAAAGTAACTCCTACTCTTATCACTTTAGTGGATATCACAAGTTGTCCTGGCTTCGTGTGTGTCTCATGAAAAGTCATGAAGACCTCAGTGTCCTGGGGCGCTTGGGTGGCTCAGTCGGTTAAGCATCCAACTTTGGCTCAAGTCATGACCTCATGGTCCATGGGTTCAAGCCCCTCATCAGGCTCTGTGCTCACAGCTCAGAGCCTGGAGCCTCCTTCAGATTCTGTGTTTCCCTCTCTCTCTGCCCCTCCCCTACTTGTGCTTTGTCTCACTCTGTCTCTCAAAAATAGATAAATGTTAAAAATTAAAAAAAAAAAACCCTCAGTGTCCTAAGCTGCTGCAGGAGTTTGGAGAAGCAAACCACTGCAGCTGGTGGAGGGAGATGTTTTGAGTAACTTGGAGTAAAAAATGCTGTGCAAACACAACTGAATTTTTTTTTGAAGACTTGATTTTCATACATTCGTGAAGTCTGCTTGGGTTGGGGAGAAAAGATGAGAGAGGAAACATTGGGAAAGAGGAAAGAGGGAACTGATGGTATAAAAGCTAGAAGAAGACCCAGGGTGGAGGGGTCTGAAGGAGAGACACGCATCTCCTAAAACGCCATGGCTGACACATTATGTCTTCTACCGGCAGCATCATTTTGCAAATCTCTCCCTCCATGTTCCCTGAAGTCCATAGCAACACCACACTAACAGCTAGCTCACAGCCTCTAGTCTGACATTTTCTTCCCCATGAATTTCCTATTGAACTAATATTCCTTCAAGTCTCAGCTCAGATGCCACCTATTCTGCGAAGCCCTCTCTGATACCTACATCAGCATCCCCACCCATTCACATGAACGTCTCCTTCTTGCTTAGGCACCCCAGCATGGTACTGCTTTTAGTGAAAAGGAACGTGGTTTAGTTTAGAGAATGAGCATGGGCTATATAGAATCAGACAGACTTGTGCTCATGCGAAATTGGTACTTTACTCTGTGGGACCTTGGGCAAGTCACTGAACCTTCTAATGCCTCATATGCCCACCTTTGGGAAGGTGGTAATATCCAAATCAGAGGGGCTGTGTTGAGGATTAAGTGAAATGAAGAACATTAAGCTCTCTGCACATGCTCTGTAAGTGTGCCCCACCTCTTAGGCCCTAGAGTTAGCTGTTTATCTTTCATTAGATGGAAAGCTTTGTGCGGGCAGGGGTAAGATGATGCCCTTGTCAATGTCATCCTCCTGGATGGCCTAGTACAATGTTTAGTAAGCATTTAATAAATGTTTAACATATTAAGCCTGATTTTCCATATTACCTACCATATTTGTTCACCTCCTGGCATTCATAGCAAGTGATATTGGCATGGGGTCACCTGAATTGTCTTTGGAAACATCATATGGGCTTGGTGCAAATATTACATACATTTCCTTATCTTGTATAACTATGACAAGGACAATTAAATATTGAGAAATACATGGAATATTTTTTTTGTAAAATTTTAGAAATACAATCTCTTGAAATTACTGGACTTGGAAAGTTTAGAGAGAATGGTATCAAAATAGAATTAAAAAAGAAGTCTGAGTGGTTTGAAAACATTGTGAAGTCACTATAAAATATTTACAGACATTAATAACTGCAGGACACTGGTGGTCTGCTCTGGGGATCACCCAGAAGATCAGCCTTGGACAATGTTTGCCCAAGGTTCCAAAGTCTTTAGTAAGTAAGGAAAGTAGGCACAAGTAGTGCCCATGTGGAAGACGGCCAGGAGCCGGTGCCGCGGCGGGAGTGAGACGGCATGGCCCATTTGTGCCCAGGCA